ACACAGAAGCTAAAATTTTTGCTCCGTGTTCCCTCTCTTTTTCTCTCTTTTTCTCTTTCTCTCTTGTGTTTCTGTATTTTGTTGTGGTCCGTTCCTCAGAATCTCCCTCAATTTATAGAGGGGAAAGTGTATTAACTTTCCACAAAAGTCTGCTGAATTTTTCCACAAAGCCAAGCTGCAATTTTTATTCTTTTGCTGCTTTCAAAATGAGTGGGCTGCTTCCTTTTTATTTTTGTCCTTTGTTGCTGTCAGAGAAAGGCTTCTTAGCAGCCATTTTTGACTCAACATCTTGAGACTAAAATTATTGTGACGTTAAATCAGCTGGACTAAATATGCAATTTAGCCTAATCTTTCACAAATATGTATTTGTGATTAAGTTACTATATAATTTTTTTTTTTTTTAAAGATAAAACAAGACAGTAAAGAAATTCGGGTCATGTACCGAGGACGACCGGAGGGCACCCCTTTTCATACACTTCTTGTTGAAGGATATGTTGATGGGCCACTTGATGTTTGTAAGCCTTAACTATTTAAAAGCAACTATAGATAAATAAATTTTGAAAAAAAATAAAAAAATTGAACATTACTTTCTGAATAAATTTTGATATATGTAACAGGTATGTGCATTTCATGGGAGTCTGCCCTGTATAAGAAATGGTAAAGAGTTTCTTTTAATTCTGTACAAGTTACATGTATATGCAAATTTGAAATCGAAAATACGAGTTTTACTTCCTTTTTTTTCCCAGGTGGCCTCAAATCGCGATCCCGACTTTCAGAGTCGTCTCGTCGAAATGTTTACAAAGAGTTCGAGTTGGCGAACAGATATCTTTAGTAAGGTATATGCTTGCCTTGCTTGTATATTAGTTATTGGTTTACTGCTTAACTCTGTAACATGAACAAATGAATAAAACATGATTTTTAAATTTTTGAGTGATGATATTTTTCGTGGTTGTTTGTAAGAAAGGATGAAGCTTTCGTGGCCGTTGTCGAGCAGAGAGGCATTGGTACATTATTTCGCGTTCGAATATTTCCAAGATGGCCTAATGGTGGTGCTCCTTAACTCGGTAAAACTATTTTTTCTTTAAATTTTTGTTACCCAATTGTCTTAGAAATTGTAAACCGAAAATAATAATAATAATAAATATATGCGTTTTTCAGATTTCAGACTCGGATACTATTGATGGAGATAGTCATGGATTCACGAGGGATGGTATTCCGGAGCCGGAAGAAGTAGTTAGAATTGATGTGGTCGGAGGTTTTGCTTTGCAGAAGGTGAACGAGAACAGGAGTTACTTCCGGTGAGTGTTTTATTGGCAAAAATGCATTTTAGTTAGTTTAATGTCGTAACAATTTTAGTCTCAAGATTCCAACTTTTTGCCTTTTGGTCATGTGATTTAAGATTTTGCTGCAATTTCATTACTTTGATGATTGATATTGCAACATAGTTTTAAATTACAAGACTTAAATTGATAATCGAAAATTTGGAAATTTGTTGCAATTTCGATCCTTTGAGTACCGAAATTGCAGCAAAAAATTAAATTACGTGACCAAAAAGCGATTAGAACCTTAGGACTTAATATGTTAAGGCGTTAAACAAGCAGAATTAAAAATACAATTTTGCCTGTTTTATTTTTCTTCTTTTCAAGTCTTTGTTTTATCGCTATATATATGCATTTAGTTGGTATATATTTTTCTTTTCTTGAAGGTTTGTTTTATTGCTATATATATATCTGCATTTAGTTCCTATATATTTGTGGTAAGGCTATATACGAGTCGAGCAGAGTGAAAATATACATTTACTTCTAGCTAAGCTTCGAAAAATGGTTTTCTATGTTCTGTGGATTTTTTAATCGGATTGTGCTTGATATTATTCGAGTGCTTTCATTGTTTTTTCATGTTCATTTTTTGTAAGGACGATAGCAAACATGGATATCAAGCTCGACTTTGTGCCGCCGGCATTCATCAATTTCGTCTCTAGGCAACTCATAGGAAGTGGCTTCAATCTCTATAAAAAAGTTAGTAATAATTCACCTAATTTAAACAAGTCTTTTGGTTTATGTTACATAAACCACTTGATGTTACTCCCAAAAATATTACAGGCAGTTGCTTCAGTTGTTTCTAAAGGAGACAAAGAATATCGTGAGGCTTTGGAGGGCCCGCTTTACAAACAAATGCGCGGATCTCTCTATTCAGGAAATTCTACCGAGGCCCAAAATCTGGAAACTCCAAAAAGAATGAAGTTGCCTGAGGTTGAATTCAAGCACGGGAACGAAATCGAGTATTCCAAAGAAGACAATGCAGAAGGACATGAATCATTATTAGACGATCGTGCCAAGAGAAAGTTGGTAAATTTTTCAGCCGATGATCAAATTACTAAAGATGTTACAACCGATGATAAGGAAACTGTTGATGGAACATATAACAGCACAATGGAAAATTGCGAACCCCAGATTAGGGAAAATGTTGCTATAATAAGTCCAAAGGTGAAAGAAGCTCTCGACACGTTGGAAAAGGCAATTTCGCTATTTCATGAACCCGATCGAGTGAGTGAAAAATCCGAATCAGGGGAAAATCGAATTCTCGAGCCAAGAATCATCTCATATGGTCATGCTTCCAGGTGAACTATTTTAATTTTTTCTTTTTAGATTAAGGAAATATCGGTTGTTGTACTCTTGGTCGTCAGTTATTTTGGTTAGAAATTTATGAATTCGACCCAAAAAGTATATAATTTTCAGGCATAAGGATTCTAGTTCTTACACTAGAGAAGTTAATCAAAGCAAGAATATGCCGGCCTCACCAAATGAGCGAGGGCCAAGCCCATCTAGCTCGAAGCACGTTTCCGGTTCTCTTGCAAATCGTCAAAAATGGCGCCATAATCTCGAAGGATTGGGCAAATTAAGGATTGTATCCAAGATGACTAGAAAAGATTGAAAATCGAGGTTTCGATGTCAATTCGTGCTTTTTGTGTCGTGTTGTGTAAAGATGATGCATGAAATGGTATACTATATAAGATGTTGTCATTACTGAGAAAATGCAATTGTAAATGTTTGTGTCAATATGGAAGAATTTGTTAGCGTAATTACTTAGATAAATAAAATACCTTTATGTATTACATGAATCGCTCGTGACTTTGACTTGTTAAGGCTTGTATTTGGTTCAATTCATTTAATAAGTGAGCAGAATTCGAGCTCATTTAACAATTTGCTTAACTAACTCGAACCTAATAGTTAATGTTTCAAGAATTATGTATTTTTACGTAGTTTTATAAATTATAATCAATATTAAATCTCTAAATTTATTAATTTGAATAAATGAGTAGAGCTTAAACTCGTTAACTGAGCTCATTTATATGAATCGAGCTGTTCGTGGATTCAACTTGTTAACACTTGAATTGGGTTCAATTGCTTTGAAAAATGTCGAGCTCATTTAACAATTTGCTTCGTCTACTAAACCAACTCGAATGATTAAATTTCAAGATATAGATACTTTTATGTAGATTTTTTACATTACTTATTATGCTAAATATCAAATTTGTTAATTTATTAATTTTTAATAAACGAGTCGAGCTTAAATTCGATAACCGACTCGAACGAGTCAGATTTCGATAAAGTTCGTTAAC